CATTTCGTAGCAGGGCACTGAGACCCGGGTTCATCCAGTAAGAATCACCACAGTGCAGTAATGGATGCTCAAAACCGCAATGTTCGGTGCACCAGATGAGGATAGCCCATGTTCTCTGTATGATATTTGATAAAGCAGGGAATTACATGAAGATTTCCATTCAAAATTATTTCAGTACAGCAATTTTCAGTTCTAACATTGATGTGTTTGGAAATTTTTGCTTACTTGGAATCTTGACCTTGTGGTACTAAGATTTTTTTCCTAGTGGTATTAGATCTATGAGGAATTATTGGTAGACTGTAGTTTTCAATGTATGAGGTATGCTACATAGTATTTTATCTTGTACATAAGTATTATATGAAGTATCTACTTTGGTCTTTTTTTTTTTTTTAGCTGTCTGGTTATTGGGGGAAGGTTTAGGAACAAGTATCCTTAGCTATGGGAGTCCTGTAAAAGCTTGGTACTATTAATGCTACAGTTTGAATCTAAAATGAATAAGTCATTTAACTTGACTATATTTCATGGCTAAGTCATGGCCAATTGTCTAACTATTTGGCTTACTCAAAAATTCATGCCACTGATATTCACTGCAATGCTGTTTGTTAGAGCAACATATTGGAAACAACCTGAAGATCCAACAAGAAGGGACTGATTAAATAAAGGATGGCACACTCATAAATAGAATATTATGCAGTCATTAAAAAGAACAAGACAGTGCTAATATGAAACATTCCCCAAGACATATTGTTAAGGAAAAGAAATAGCATCCAAGTGGAAAAAAAAAATCCTACCTATTTTATAGTAAATGGAAGGATGCACAAAACATTAGTGACGATGGTAGCCTCTACCTAGGGGTGCTGGGTGACTGGGGTTCAGGAGTGGAAGGAAATTATTTTACACTGGTATCCTTTGTGCCTTTTGAATTTTGTATCATTTGCATGTATTACAAATTCAAAAATAAATCTAAAAAAAAAAATTTAAATGAAGAGAGAGCAAAAAGTGTCAGCAATCCTAAAGGGAACAGGTTGGGCTAAGATGGTGGAGCAAAATGAGAGATGTTAAAGGAAGGCTGTTGAAGGGCTGCCTTCCCCATTTCCGGGGTCTGTCACTTAGGGTATGATCAGGGGTCATAAGCCAGAAACTTACAGAAAAAATCTGGCTGAAAGACTGGTGTGCTCTATGCCTTAAAAATGTGTATTCAAAGGACTTGAATAGACATTTCTCCAAAGAATATATACAAATGGCCAATGAGCACATGAAAGGATGCTCAACATCACTAATCATCAGGGGAATGCAAGTGAAAACCACAATGAGATACCACCTCACACCCATTAGGATGGCTACTATCAAAAATAAAAATAAAAACAAAAACAGAAAATAACAAGTGTTGGAGAGGATATGGTGAAAAGAGAATCCTTATGTACTGCTGGTGGAAATATGAAATGTTGTGGCTGCTGTGGAAAATAGTATGATGGTTCCTCAAAAAGTTAAACATAGAATTGCCATATGATCCAGCAATTCCACTGCTGGGTATACACCCAAAAGAATTGAAAGCAGAGTCTCAAGGAGATATGTGTAAACCCATATTCATAGCAATGTTATTCACAATAGCCAAATGTGGAAGAGACCCAAGTGTCCATCGACAGATGATGGATAAACAAAATATTGTAACTACATGCAATGGAATATTATTCACCCTTAAAAAGGAAGGAAATTCTGACACATGCTACAACTTGGATGAAACTTGAGGACATTATGCTAAGTGAAATAAGCCAGACGCAAAAAGACAGATACTGAGTGATTCTGGTTATACAAGTTATCTAGAGTAGTCAAGCTCATAGAAACAGAAACAAGAATGGTGGTTGACAGGTGCTAGGGGAAAGAAGGAAGGGTGAATGATTAACGGGTACAACGTTTCAGTTTTGAAAGATGAAAAGAGTTCTGGGGATGGTGGAGAGGGTTGCACAAGAATGTAAATATATTTAATACCACTAAACTGTACACTTAAAAATGGTTAAGATGGTAAATTATATATTATATGTAAGTTACCACAATTAAAAATAAATTTTTAAAAATGTAAATTTGAATGTATCCAGACAGAGTTTACACTTTCCAATTCCCTAATAAAACTCATACGTTTTGCAGCCAGTTTCACACGTTTACCTTAAAAATCAGTTTTGCACATTTACCTTACCTTCCTGGCCCCATGTGCATTCAAATTTGTGAGCCTTAGAAAATATGTTTAACCTTTTTTGACCCTCAGATTTTCTCCTAGAAATGATAATCCCTGTCTACCTCACGTGACTGATGGAGGGGTAGATGAGCTGAGCGTGGAAGCATTTATAAACGGAAACAGTCCGACACTGTGACGCGCTGCGTCCCCCACCCCGGGAATAGATCGAAGCGTGTTTCAGCGTATGGGTTCGTAACATCTGCACATACACTCCATACCTGAGTTGGGGAAAAGGCCACAAAACCAATGTAGGAAAATTAAAATTAAATGATCCCATGGGTTTGCTTTTTTCCTTAAAATATTATCATTTATTCTGGGGGCAGGGGGAGGTGGAAGCACAGGAAATAACTTTGAGACTTATCACACTTGATGTAAAAAACTTGGTTCTCTGACATCGTTCTTTTCCTAAAGGTGGCATAACAGTGTCTTTTCCTCATAGTTAGACTTGCCACCTCAATTCAATCACACAATTTGACAAGCATGGATTCAGCAGCAATGAAAACGAACACTGTGAGGCATGTAGAACAAGTTGACGTGGTTCCTGCCGTGCCATTCGGGAGCTCACTCACAGCACCGGGCACTAAGGACTGTTTCTTTAGGTGATTACTCTTCTTAGTAGCTTCTCCCACGGCAGGTGCCATTTTCAACCTCTCTTCTCTCTTGCGTCTAAGAGTCCCTAAAAAAGGAGCTGGTTTTTCTGAAAGTCCTTCTTCCTCTTCACTCCCCTCTCCTGCATCTGTTCCTCTGTTCCTCCATTCCTTCTTTCCCACCTTCCAACCTTTACTTATTAAGCACTTACTGTGAGCCAGACACCATCAAGATGTGGAGGACATTATGACCAACAAGACAAAATCCTTGACCTTGTGCCACTAACATTCTGGTCGAGAAGGTTTCCTTCCTAGCCGAAACTCTGTGCCTTAACTACAGCACCCCAAAAAAGAACATCTTTGAATAACATCCTTGAAGAAGCTAGATTACACAAATCTATCAATACGCTGGGGCATTGCTTGAATCTGACCTATGAAACAAGCAACAGCAATATTTTGACTTTATAAATAATATCTTAAGTATATTTATAGCGCCTTTCCCATGCACAGTTCCAAGCATCTCAAGATTTATATGATAGAGAGAGGAGAAAATCATCCTCGTGTATTAGATATGGAAAACCGGTTTTAAACAACCAAGTGACAAATCTCGGTAGGATTGTCAACTTAAGGACACTTGTCAAGCAGTATCCCACAGGAGTCATCTTACTTAATTTTTTGTCAACAGCTTAGTTAAAGTGGATTTTATAAATGATTCAAAATATGTCTGAGTGGCTGGAAGTAGAAGCAAAGATGGCTTTTAAAAGAACCTTGACAGCTTTTCCTGCTGACAACACGGGGGCAAGAGATGATGAACATTCCGAAAGTGATAGGTCCTTCCTCACAAGGGAAGAGGACTGTGTAAAGGTTTGAACACGTTGAGCCCAGCTTCTGTCTAAGAAGCTGCTATTCATTCAAAGATGCAATAAGTTTGAACTCGGGGGAAAAAGAAGGAAAAAAAGTCTGGGAGATGAAGCCATGCCTACACTTCATAACTTTGGTTTTATGATGAAACAATTAAAATATTGAAGTTGAAATGACCCCTGAAGAAACCCTGGCGTGTCCCAGTTGTCAATTTACAGCTTCTCAGCTCCAAATCTACCCTTCATGCCCCTGCTAGTGATGCCGGAGCTGGATCCTGCAGACATTTCTCCTCTGCCACGAGGTTCGATATGGGGCCTTGTCAGGGAGGTGCTGCAAGAACACTACAGGAGGAGGGGGCTTCTCCTCCTGGTTCTGGTGGGTTTTCCTCTCTTCTTGTTCTGGCAGCACATAGGACATCCTATGGCACTCACTCTAGTGAGTTGAGCAATACCGTTATAGGTGGTTACCAGAAAGTTCCACCAGAGCCCCAGCCAGCTTCCTAAAGAGTACAATACCCCCACCAGCAGCTTCCCAATGAGTTGGCAGGTGCCCCAGATGAATGCCAGAGGGTGGCTCACAGCGAGTTTTATCCGCACCTCACTGAACTTCTCTGCTAGCCAGAGGGCTACAGCCATGCCCTCCTCAGTAAGGCCGGAATCTCAACTTGAGAGGGAGACGTTCTTCTTCCAAATGTGTTCCTTCCTTGGGTAGTCTGCCTCAGTCCTAGGTAGTTGCTGCTCCCTGTATCTGCTATTCTTATAATCTAACCTCTTCTCATAATATAACCCTTACAGTAACTAATCCTCTGTTACTGATTAATAGTTCTTTATATTAAACTTTCCCCATTCAAACCACTGTGTTATTTCTGTTACCTGACTGGACCTTGATTAATAAACTGATATCCACGGAAATGTGTATTTATGTTCACCAAAACTATGTGCAAGAAATTTCATAGTAGCATTATCGTAATAGCCAACTCACCCATCACCAGGAAAAGAGAGAAATAAGATGTGGTGTATTCATACAACAGGATGTGGCACAGCAATGAGAATAAATGAACTACAAACAGACACAACCTCACGGAGGAACTGACAAACATGACGTTGAGTGAAAGAAGCAGAAACTAAAGAAAATATTCTGTTTGTCCATTTATGCAAAGTCCCCAAACAGACAAAACCGATCTCTGGTGCTAGAAAGTAAGGAAGCTGGTTATTCCTCGAGGAGATTAGTGATTGGAAGAAGGCACAAGGAGCTTCTGGGATGCCAGTAATGTTCTGTTCCCTGCCTGGGGTGTGGGTTATATATCATTGTTTATGCAAATTCATTGAGCAGTACATTTTTGATGTTCATATTTTAAAAATTATGGCTGAAAAATATTACAAATTTATTGAGTTTATGAGGTGTGATTTATTTGATGAAGTCAAGCTCATTCATTCAACAAAAAATATATGCACATATTATGTACCAGTCACTGTATACGATGCTAAGGATCTAGAAATGAATTAGTTATATTGGTTCCTGTCCACAAAGGGGCACGGTCTAGAGAAAAGCTACACACAGAAAGGTGATGTCTGAGCAGGGGACCTTCCCCTGCACAATGCAGAAATGCCTACTCACCCCACTGTCCCCCATTGCCATAAAAGGATGAGTAGAAGTTGGCCAAAGAGAAATGGGTATTCCGAGCAGGCAGAACAGCATGTGCACAGATGTGAATTTTGAAAGTCACTGTGCACTCAGAGAACAGAGAGTGTTTAATGTGGCCGGAGTCCAGGTTGCACTGGAAAGGATGGCAGGAGATGAAACTGCAGAGTAAACTACAGTATACTTAGTTCACCACAGTCAACTAAGGCTTGATTGTGACGTGTTTGCATGCCTTCTACTGAGCGTGAATTTTACACGAGAAGCCAAGAGCTAGTCTTCAAAGACATCCCTCCCATACAAACACAACTGATGCCTTTGTTTGTCCCCTCCCACAAGGAATCTCGATTGGCCCTATGGAACCAACAGAATTCGGTGCAAGTGACACTGTATGACTTCTGAGACCGTTGCAGCTTATGCCTTGATTTCTTGGAACACTTGTTCTAGGGAAAGTCAGTCATCACGTAAGAAGTTCCACTATCCTGAGTCCACCATATTGTGAGGAAGCACAGCATAAGAGAGACCACGTGGAGAGAGCTGTTCATCAGCCCAGTCAAGCCTTCAGACGACTCCAGCTTCAGCTGACATCTGACCACAATGCATGAGAAGCCCCAATGGAGAGCAGACTAGCTGTGTGTTGAACATGGTCAAAATACAGAACTGTGAGAGGGAGAAAAACACTTTTGCTCTACATTATATTTTGAGTCACTACATTGTGGGTGGTTTGTTACACAGTACTAGATAATTAGAATAGACATCTTGGAATAGCAGTGTGACATAAAGAGTTTGAGTTTGTTTTTGGAAACATAGTCTGGAGACAGACTGGAGGGTGGGCTGAAGAAGGCAGAAGCTGAAGGGACGAAGAAATGTTAGGAGGCCTTTATAGGGGGATAAGCGAATGTCAATGGGAATGGAAAGGAGAGGCTGGAACCAGAGATACTAATCTACAGATTCTAGAGGCAGATCGACAGGATATAGAGATCTCAGGCCACAACGCAGGTCTAGTCAATTAGAATCTGCATTTTAACACGATCCCCAGGTGATCACAGCTTTCAACCCTCGCAACGACCAGGAAAGATAGGCATTACTGTTCCCATCTTTACCTAGTGATGAGACAGAGGCTCAAAGAAGTTGCTTGAGATAGCCGAGCTGATTACTAGCTGAGCCGAGATTCAATCCCAGAATTTCCTGAGTCCAATATTCTTTTCAAGAGGTAGAAAAGTAATTTCACAGGAATTCCTACTTTCACTCTATTCAGGAGGATTATTTCAGAAGCCGGAACATCTCCAACGAACAATCACAGGTCTGAATTTGCAGTGCCGCCAGCTATGAGCTTGTGACAGTGGTGGACGAATCTCTTTCTGAGCTCTTAGCGGCTCCGCAAGAAACGACATTGACAGAGTCCGAACTTCACTTCCCAGCAAGCCCCGCGGCCTCCCATCGCGAGAGGCATGACGGGCATCCTGCCCCACTCTGTTTTCCCGTGGAGCTACCCGGCAGACGCGGGACACGTGACAGCCTGACGTAAGGGCGCGCGGCATCCTGGGATGTGTAGTCTGGCCCGGAGTGGGACGCCCCCTCGGATGAATGGGGCCCGAGCTGACTGCGAGCTACACCCTTCAGCCGGCAGCGTTGGTGGCGGCCGCCGGGGAAGGGGAAATCGCGGCGGCCCGAGGAGAGAGCAGCGCCCCAGGACAGTGGCGATGTTCTGTGCAGCAGCCCGGCTTCCTGGGGTAGCGGTCTAGGCGGGCGCTTCCTCTACGCGCTCGCTCCCCTTCCCCTGCACCGGCCATGCGCCCGGCCATCGCGGTGGGCCTGGTGTTCGCAGGCTGCTGCAGTAACGTGATCTTCCTAGAGCTCCTGGCCCGGTGAGTGACGCCCGCGGACCGCCCCCTGGCTCCCGGGGCTGCGCCGAGGAAGTCGGAGGAGAGGCGCCCCCGCTCGCAGAACCCCGGATGCGCCCCCAGCCGCGGCGCGGGGCGGGGGTGGGACGGTTTGAGCCCCCGTCGGCTCGGGGCAGCCCGGGACCCTGCTGACCTGGCTACGTCGTCGTCTTGCGCACCCTCCGCTCTCCCGTCCAACACTTTCACAGCATCCCTCTCACCGGAAGGCTTGGGGTGCTGCTGTCGTCACCTATTTTTCACAGGAGAGTTTTTCACATGACTGGTCCAAGGTCGGCAGGGAACTCGAGGCAGAAAAGTTCCTCCAGCTCTTTTCTCAATACCGTCAATGCCTCATGTTTGACTTAAGCAAAGCTTCCTGACTTATAAAGCAGTCTGATTTTGTACACGCTGCAAAGAAAGTTTTCATCTGTATTAAAGTGGCCCGCAAAGCATTTGTTTTATTGGCTTTAGAGACGATCGTGAGTGCTTTGCCCAAACACACCTCTCAGTGATGTAGTAGATTCTTGTTTATACAGAAGATCCACCCAATTGACCCCAGAGACCATTTCCAGCTTTAAGATGTTATAGTCTTTACATTGGGAAGCTTGCATTTTGAGATGTAACTTTATAAATTAAGAATGACTGTGACACATTCCCAAAGGGAAACTGGGTTAGCTTTATTGAGGTGGCATGCAAGTAATGTTGAGTAATGTGCAAAGTTCAGTGCATAGAAGCTGTTACAGGAAAGTCAACAGGTGGACTGGAAAAGGCTCAGGACTAAATATCTTAAAGATATGAATTTTAGTCTTGGCTCTGTCGTCCACTGGCTGTGTGACTTTTTTCAAGTCCCTTAGCCTCTGTGGACCTCCTTTTTCCTCTGCTGTAAAATATTATGGTGCTATCTAATGCCATGTTTCTGAATCTACACATTATTTCCATCAGAAATTATTATTGACCATCAGAACAATCTTGTGTACAAGATAGGTCAAGAGTTAAAGTCTCTGTTTTACTGAAAGTGAAACAGGTCCCAAGAAGTTAGAAGGTCTTTTACTACTTTCTTGTAAGTGGCAGAGGCAGAACTGGAATCCAGGATATCTGAACTTTTAGTCCAGTATCTTTTTCAACCTCCTGATAATTTTTGAACTTGAGCAGCCCATAGGTTTTGGCCACCCAATTCCCCATGTGGTGCCTACTAGAAATGTATTTAATCAAGGATACCATTGATTAAGTCATTCTGAAGCAACCAGTTTACTTAAGGTAAACTCCATGTGGCGTTAATTTTTGCAGTTACAGAGCTTGAATTTTATTATGCAGAAAGCATTGATAAAGATCTGTTATTTGTCTTCTTGGAAATAGATGGTGAGAAATAGGAAAATGAAAAAAAATGGACCAGCCTGGTGGCCTAGTGGTTAAGTTCACCCACTCTGCTTCAGTGGCCCTGGGTTTGCAGGCCCGCATCCCGGGTGCAGACCTACACTGCCTTTCAAGCCATGCTGTTGCGGCAACTCACATACAAAACAGAGGAAGATTGGGACAGATGCTAACTCAGGGACAATCTTCTTCACACACACACAAAACGAAGATGAGGAAAAGAATGTATCTGGCTGTAAGCTAGTACACTTCAAAGGATGGTCACTTTGGAAATTGATTTAAAAATATAAAAAAGTGATAAAATCAGGCCAGCCATGGAAATGAAGGTCAGAGAATAATAGTGTAATATTCACGTTGACTATGCCATTAAATTAAATCTTGCCAAAGCCTGTATGATTTCAGAATATGCTGGCAACTGAAGGCCCTCTTTACTAGTTGTGAGCCCTTAGCTAAATTACTTGACCTCCTGTGTCTGTTCTCTCAGCTGTAAAAGCGAGGTGATGGCTCTACCAGCCTCATAGCGTTTGGAGGATTAAATGAGGTGCATGCTCGAAGCCTCTGCTTCCCCTTCTCTCTGACAACTTTGGTTTCATACAAATATATCTTGTTTTATGAGCTGTTCCTGAAAAGTTGTGGATAAATCTAACTTTACAGAATGTTTCCATGCATGATAGCAGCTTCTATTTAGAACACTGAGTAATAAGTGAATAAATCATCACTCCTTATTTATCTTTTTATAAATCTGGATTTTGCATATAGCAATAGGTTTTCATAAAGTGGTGAGGGGTACATTTACTAATTTCCTGAATGGTACACCAGACCGAATAGCAGCTTTTTCCTGATTTGCTTGGACAACTCATGACTTCTCATGTTACACATCAATAAAATAAGCGCTGCTTGGACCAGATGGTCTTTAAGGTTCTTTGTAGATTTAGCCTTCTCATAATTTGTGACGTTATCTTGGGACACCACAGTGGAAAGCTCATAAATTTTTATAGAGCAGGAACTGTGCTTCTTGTATGGCTTCCTTGGAACCATTAGGTGCCCCAATAAGTGGCAAGAAGAACACTAAATATAAAAGGAAATGCTATTGTGACTTGCAGGGTGAAGCAAACATTTTTAGCCACTTTCCCCAAACTGGAAAACAAATTTAGGTTTTTCTTTCAGATTTTTATACCTAAAATTGGGACCCATAATAAAATATAAAGTACCATGCAGTAGGTGCAACGTAATGAATGAGTCCTTGATCTCCCTTTTGAAAGACCTTACCTTCCACCTTGGAAACAAAGTACACCCATGCCAGCTAACTAACTAGGCGAGGGGTTGCATGTCTTCTGGCAGGAAAGCAATCTGAAACATTTTCTTTATCCCCATTTTATTTTTCAATCCAGTACATAATGTTGAATCCAATGAGGAAGTTTCCTAAATCCAGAATAAGAAATACAAGAGGGATAAAGTCTGCCCAATTCTTTCTCTTCGAAGTTGGTTTTTTTAAAGGTAAAACTTTGGATTCCTGCCGAAGAGGATTAAAAGTAAGAGAAACTGCAGTTAATGATTATTAAGAGAAATAAAGTTCAAGAAAACAAGGGATTTAGGGAAAAGGATTCAAGTTTTTACTCTGAAGTTTTAAAACGAATTATTCCAGTTAAAATAAATAGTTTCATTGGTAGCCATACAACGTCTTCCTAAAAAGCTCTATAAGTTGATTTTTTTTTAATTGAATTATGTGAGTTCATTAGGGAGATTTAAAATTCCTATGGAAATGGAGTAGGAAACGAAGTAGGTTAGGGTTGTCAAGGGAGGGGGGAGGGGAAATAGGAATGACTCCTATGGGTATGAGATTTCTTTTGGAACTGTCCTAAAAGTAAATAATGGTGGTGGCTGCACAACTCTAAATATACTAAAAACCACTGAATTATAAAAATAATAACAATAATAAGGGGGTCACAAACACCATTTATTTGCCATGTGGCCCTGGGAGACTTACCCAACTCAATGCCATGTGGCCCTCAGTGTCTTTAGCGATGAAATGGGCATAATAATACCTACCTCCATAAAATAAAGATAAAATTAAAAATTATTATGATTCCTTTTAAAAAATCCTATGGAGAATACACTTATAAAGCCAGTCATTTTTTGAAATAAGTTGTTTCTTTTTATCTTTCGTACAATCCTAATATTCTAGATCATATTTGCTAAAAGTGAGGCACCTCCGCGTTCATTCTGTTGCTTGAGTGAAGTCCAGACTGTGCCCAGAGAGCGGGGCACGGAGCTGCATGAGACATGGCTGGTCCTCTGACCATCCCTGTATGGCGCTGGGTTCTCACTGTCTCATAGTCTATTTGGCTCCCTCATCCTATTGTCGTTTCCTTAAAGCCAGGGATCAGGGCTCCTTCACACTGGGCGCTCCCTCACAGCTAGCACCTAACTTTACACATAATATGTCCTTGATAATTGTTCTTTAACTGAGTTGGCCTAAGCTTTGGGTAAAAATGGAAGGGAAAGCAAGGAAACTGAATGTGTCCCTTTTTGGCTAAGTCTCATGGTTGGCACTTGACGTATATTTTCTCATTGAATCCTCACTACAAGGTTAAAAATATAGCGCTTTCATTTTATAGGTGAGAAAAATTGGACCATATGTCTTTAAAAAGGTTACTATACTTAGACTGACGACCTTTCAGGACGTAAGGTTCTAAATCCTGCTCATCCTTGTGGTTCTAGTCTTTGCCTTTTTCCCTGTGTGGCAGGCACTATGCTAAGTGCTTTTCTAGGACTGGCACGTTTACTCTGCCATAAACCAATGAGATAGACACCAACACTGTTCCCGTTTTAAGAGTAAGAAAACTATAGATAGGGTAATTAACTTCCACTGTCACAGGGTGAGTGACAGAGCTGGATCCTGCATGTCCCTGTGCACGTTTAACAACAGTGGAGCACAGTGGTTCTCAACCCTGTGACGGCCACGTGAGAATGACCCGCTCATCTTCTTCACATACCTCCCCTTTCCCCAGACCTGCGCTAGTGCCTCTCAACTCCAGCTGCTCCTTAGAATCAACTGGGAAGCTTTCAAAAGTACAGATTCCAGGGCCCCACCCCAGACCAACCCTATCAGAACTGGGAGGATGAGCTCCTCGGGTGGATGGGTTTTTAAAGCGCAGCCAGTGTTGAAAAGCACTGCGCTTGGAACTTTCTAGAGCTCAAGTTCTTCCTCCTGTCCCTCATATTTAGGCTAATGGTTTTAATTAGCTCCTTGAATGAGATAGATGTTTTACACAATTGTTTATGGATTCCTGCAATGTTTAGCCCTGGCCCTTGAACGTTAGAAGTGGTAAAAGAAATGGTTGAATTGCGTATAAAGCAGTAGTTCTCAAGGAGACCTTCACAGGCAGGAATGGTAGCGACAGTCCTGCTTCAGATGGTAAGCATAGCTCGGGATGAGGATGGCTTATGCCTGGAGTTGTCTATTTTTATGCCTGATGGATGTGTTTAAGAATTTGTCTATCATGGCACTGCTTTTTAATATTAGTACCACCAATAGAGAATGGTGTTGTTTTTAATAAATAGCATTATGTTAATATATGATAATACAGTTAACTCCCTCTAATCACTGGCTTCAGGTAAATGTCTCTGGATAAGATGAAAATACAGAATATGAAGGCTGGTGAGTATTGGTAATATGGGAAATCTGGAAGCTTCAGGAAAACAAAGACAACTGCTGACTTTGTACTTCTTCCAGTGATTGAGCAGAGCCCAATAGAGGACAAGCTTTAGAAAACCACAAACATTTTTTTGTTTGTGTGAGGAAGATTGGCCCTGAGCTAACATCTGTTGCCTATCTTTCTTTTTTCGCTTGAGGAAGATTGTCGCTGAGCTAGCATCTGTGCCAATCTTCCTCTATTTTGTATGCGGGACACCACCACAGCATGGCTTGATGAGTGGTGTGCAGGTCCACAGCCGGGATCTGAACCTGTGAACCCCGGGCCACCAAAGTGGAGCACGCAAACTTAACCACTGTGCCACCAGGCCATCCTCCACAAACATTTTAAGTAACTTGAAGGATGTCAAAGGAATTTTCCACCTTCTAAATTTGTTCCTAATAGTCACTGTGGAAGACTCCCCAACTCTTACGTAGATCACTGAAGAGGTTTGATTGAATTCCAGGAACATTTGTTGAGTGTCTAATGTATTCAAAACACTGTGTTAAGGGTTGTGGGGAATAGTAGATTATAGTGGCATTTCTCAATCTTTTCTTCATTTCTGCTCCTCCCCAGCCCCGAAACACTGCTTAGACGTTTTTTTCCCTAATCACCCCACACATATACTGTATGCTGGTGTATATAGTGTGTGTATATCTGTGCTTTATACTTACAGAAAGAGTTAAAATTCCCCTCACCCCACCCCACAAGCCAATTGTTGCCCCTGGTGGGGATGCTATCTAAGGTAATGTCCCTGTCATCAACGTGGGTACGTGTCTTTGATTGACAGCAGTCTCGGAGATTCCTGGTCGGGAGAATATCTAGACATTCTAGGAAACCTGAGGATATTTCTGTCCTTGGGCTTTGCTGCCTAAGCTGACTAGGATCCTGACTAAAGCTCTCTTGGTTAAGTGAGGACCCCAACGAGAACCTGTGACCAGCTTCCTACAGTTTACTAGCAAAGTTGTGTCGTATTTCCAGGAACGAGCACATCACAGTGATTCTTCCTCATGGCCTGCTACACCGAGGCAAGAGTGACATGAGAAAGCCTGACATTCTTTGTGAGATATATTGCTAAATGAGTGTGGTCTGGGGTATGAAAACTAAGATAAAGAAGGAAAGTGGGTAATGGAAATCTTCCCTGTTATTCTGAACTATCCATATAACAAGGCTTAGTGTCCTTTATCTCAGTTTTTTGTGACTTTTTTTGTTGTTATTCACTATACAGGAAGCATCCAGGATGCGGGAACATTGTGACATTTGCGCAATTTTTATTTATCGCTGTGGAAGGCTTCCTCTTTGAAGCTGATCTGGGAAGGAAGCGGCCAGCTATCCCAATAAGGTAGGGCCCATTGAAGCCTCTTTTAGCTTTTGTTTTTTAAAAAAGTTAAGAGCTTTTCTGGTACCTACATAAAAGGAATATGACACATGCTTTTATAAGATTTGTATCAAAGATATCAGTAGAATAATAATTCATTTTCTGAATTTAATATGTTGTGAAACTCCAGGGAACCTGTTTTAAGAATAAAATTCCTGCTACAACACTTAAAATAACTATGATGGAGACAACAGTGTATACATGTGAATGTGTGTGTGTGTGTGTGTGTGTGTGTGTGTCCGTGTGTCTGTGTGCATCGTATATGGTCACTTAAAGGCCTACTGTGACCACAAAATTTTTAAATAGTTATGTATGCTATCCTCATGTTGATAAAGTTATCACGTATGCTAAGAGTGGTGTCATTGTTCGTTTTTAGAAACAAATGGCTTTTGGAAATAAATAGAGGTGGTTACACAACAGTGTGAATGTGCTAAATACCACGGAACTGTTCACTTTAAAGTGGTTGATTTTATGCTATGTGAATTTCACCTCAATTAAAAGAAAATGAATGACAAGCTAAGGCAAAACTATTGATTCCATGCGTCTGTCCATTGGTCCAGATTTGCATAACTGTACTCACGGGGCCAAATAGAAAACAGAGCTGTTCTTATAATAAACAACGTATTGAAAACTCAGCATTCTTGCTGTGAGAGACTTGAAATAAAAGTGTAATCCATCCAATTGTATTTAGTAGGATAGGGTCACTCAGTCCCTTTGAGAGGGACCTTCTGGTGCCAGTGTATCCAAGGACTGGTTAATTCTCCTCCTTGTTGGTATTATTTTGCAGCATTCCTGAGTAACCTGCTATAGAAAGTCTGGCTGAGTTTTGTTATTAATATTGTATTTTTAAATTTCCCATTGCGATGCTGAATATTCTGAATACTTTTTTTTGTTTGTTTTTCATTGGCTTTAGTATCTGCATAAAACTTCTGCTCCCAAGACTAGCGTTTTTTGATTCCTCCGACCCTTTCCCTCCTCCCTCTACTATCTCTTTCCATTCTGGCTGCCACTAGCATAGTTCAGGGACATAGTTACTCTCACCATAACTTTCATAATGGTACCCTAGCAGACGGAACACCAGCCCATCACCTCTTCATCCCTCCGTTTCAGCTTCCTACCGTTGTATGCTGGCACCCTCTCTCATAAGCACTCCAGTCACCATTAGGTTCAGAGTGAAGCCAAAGCTCCCTGCCCTTTGAGGCTCCCCATGACCTTGCCCTAACAGCCATGTTCCCGTCTGTGTCCCATTTGTGCTGGCTGTTTTGTTTTCTATCTGTGAAACCATAATCAAAATCTTGCTCATGTCATTCATCCCCATGAGCAATTTCTAGGCAGCACTGTGTAGGCAGCAATGTGGAATCGTTGGAATTAATTATCCTGAAAGACCTGATGAACTCTCTTTATTTCCAAATGGCATCTTTTCAAGACAGGACTAAGAAAATTTGGCAAGAAACCTTGTGAAGTCACGAGTAGTGTATTACATAGAAGCTGTGAAATAGCTATTGCCAGTAACTTTGCATGTGTGTAACACTGTGTTCTGTATTCATTGTAAAGCTTCTCAAACTTTCCAGACTGTGTTAACTTAGCCATGGTGTGGCTGCCTACAACATATTAAAGCATATAGCTCCACACCTAACCAGCAATGAAAAATAGGTTCTTATCAGGGAAAATAATTGAGACTCATGCTGTCACATCCTTCAGATGTGCAAAGATGAAAAAGGGTGGGGATCTGTGCTCAAAGATCAACATTTCCAGAAGGATATGGAACCACCTATTTACCTTTGCCCTGCATTCTTTATTCATGTATTTCAAATATTGTTTTTTCTCTTTTTGAATGTATTAGGTTGAATCATATGAAATTGCTGATTCAACCCTTTTTGACCTACAGAAAATATATAATTTTATATGGTTTGACCTGATACATGTGAAAAGCATCTTTATTTTCCAGAGCAAAATGGGGGCATACAAATGTAAAATTATTTATTTTATTCATTTATTTGTTTATAAGTGTTCATTCCTATTTATCTCTTCATCTTTCTAAGTTATTAGGGTTACAGGATTTGTTTTTAGTTTTTGTTTTTTTATTATTTAAAGACCTATAAATGCTCCAAAACCAAGGGGCCTGATTTTAAATAGAAGTCTATACCAGTCAAACGATGTCCTCCTTAATTTGGAGGCCACTGGTTCAGAATGTGAGACAATTTTAACAGTTGCTAGGCTGAAAGTAACCCTTAACTTAGCAAATCTTTTCTTTAGAAAAAGTGAAAATTAGTAGTATAAACATGTGTTGTATTGAGGAAATATTTTAACCATTTTCAAGTTCTTTAGAGGTATGTGAAAATTATGTACAAAGAACTGATACAATAATAAAAATTATCCACTTACTTTTAAAAACCTATTGATGTCTATCGGGTAACATTTTTTATAGCCTAGTTTTCAGTTGCTTGAAAAATATCAAAATAGTACATTTGAAAAATGTTTAAATAGTGTTTCTTGAAACATATTCTATGATTCAAGCTTCTTCCAAGTTAGTCTGGCTTTGCGAAGTATTTTCATATGTGCTTGACTTCACTTTACATGTATTTGACTTCACACTATAATAGTAATACAATCTTTTACTACAGCGGAAATAAGCAAAATACTTTTTAAAATAAAAATATCTATTTCCTTCTATACTTGATTTTTCTTGAAGTAATAGATTCTGTGTGCTGAGCTGTGCTGCCTGCATTTCAGGTACTACGCTGTGATGGTAACCATGTTCTTCACGGTCAGCGTGGTGAACAACTATGCGCTGAATCTCAACATCGCCATGCCCCTGCATATGATATTTCGATCTGTAAGTGCTGCCGGCTCACACGCCTATGTTACTCTGGAAGATACAGCCAAGTGGGTGGATTGTAGTAAAGACTAGGGTCTAAGAAGAGGTCTCATGGATGAGGGAACAGAGGCTGGCTTTCATCTGAGAAGTAAGGCGAAGAGAGAGAAATGTAAAAGTAAACAGTTTACTTTTATTTATCTGAAGTCTTATGGGTGATGAATAAAAAGAAAGTTAAAATTTCCCTGGGAAACAGATTTTACCTTTAATTTCCTTCATCTGGTTGATTTTGTATTTAGACTTGCTGTCAGTGTTATTTAGCTGAATTATCATCTCTTACTTTTTGTTTCTTTCTTCCATAAAATTACATTTGCTTCTAGTACATGAAACAGATACTTCTCTTTCTGTTTTTTTTTTTTTTAAAGCAGAGACTTAAGATCATTAAATAAATGGAAGTTCTTGATGGAGGTAGGCTTCTCCCAGAGCAGCGAGGTTTTCTTCTTTGCATCTTGTGTGGTGGGAGAGCTGTGTTGAGTGTGGATGTAAATAAGAACAGAGTGTTGCCTGAAGAGCAGGAGAGACCTCGAGGGGGATGTGGTGAGACCTGCAGCAGAATGCAGGATGGGTGACGATCGGAATTAGAGCATTTCTCTGTGCTCTGAGATTTTTGTGAGCTCGAATGTGCTATTCCTAAAGGGACTTGCTAGAGCTAATTCTAATTACTAAGGTCACCTGCAAAGCATCGAGCACATAACAGACTTTCAATAAACTTTTGCTGCTTGAGCGACACCTTTCCAGAGAGGAGGGAGACCCCTGCATGACTTCTTTCATTAAGGCTGGGGGTGAGGAGAAGCTTATTAAAAACTCGTAAATTAGATACTAAAAAATTTGACAAAAATAAGTCTTTAATTTATTCCTGTTAGCCCTAGCTTCAGCTATGACCAGTTATTGAGAATTGATCATTTTTGTTCTCATTACCATCTTTCAAAGGTTTCCTTGTTTTACATGATAGATTTTTCTGGTTTATACTTTTTGCCATCATAAGAACACCTGAACCTTGCTAATTATTCATCAGGTGTTTGTCCCCCTTGCCCATGTCCATCTGGAATTATGTTATTGTCTTTCCGTAGTACACTAAAACTCTCTGTTGTCTCCTTTTACAGGGTTCTCTGATTGCCAACATGATTCTAGGAATTATCATTTTGAAGAAAAGGTAAAGAATGCTCTTTTATATTTTATGTATCGGAAGGATATCCTGAGCCCCAGCCATAAGCTAGCCATCTGGATTCCTCTTCTCGTAGTGGTGATACGTTTGCTCTTGGCCATCACCCTTGTTTCTTAGTTCTCTCTGTGACAATGACGTACCTTTCTGAGGCACCGGATCAGGTAAAAGGCCCCACCTGTGGCTTTGGAGCCACATTTTCTCTCTGTAGAACTAATTAGTTCTTGTCATCCTTGAATCTTTAGTACCATACTCTCCTATGAAGCCAATTGATCTGAAACTACACTGTCCCATATGGTCACCACTAGCTACATGTGACTATTTACATTTAAATTTGTTATTGAAAATTAAATACAATGAAATATTTAGTTTTTCACTCTCACTAGTCACATTTTAAGTGCTCAGTAGCCACATGTGGCTAGTGGTCATCATACTGGAGAACCCAGATATGGAACATTTCCAGCTTCACAGAAGTTCTGTGGGACAGTGCTGTCATTCAAATACTACAAAATGAACTAAAGAATAGTCATGAAAAATTATTTGTCTCCCATCTTGATTCTGAGCCTCACCCCTCACTCCCAGGGAGAGGGGCAGTGGGGAGAAACAGCACAAACAGTCTGGAACATTCCTCAGGGGAAGTTCACCCTTACTATTAAGACTAAAATTATACAAGTTAATGCCAACTTTTCACTGTATTCAATATCCACCCCCAGCATTAGAACTCTCTATACCAGCTTGGAAAGTAACCGTCAATTCAGAGGGTAAGAACCCAGAGTTTAAATAATAAAGGCTGTGTCATAAAAAGGACAATTGTCCTGTTTTACCAGGTTCCTTATCAGGAACTCTTTCTCTCCTGAGGCTTATGTATTCCCCAGATAAGGAGGATTGTAGTTGATTTCTTTGCTAGGCTCTCTGCATTTAAGCATATGTATATATTGTCAGGTTCGTTACATTGGAAGTACCCATTGTGCTTCTAGGTAGCGCAGAATTCATCTTGGGACAGACCTGTGGTCTTTCCAACCTTTGACTTAGCTCAAAGCAGGGATACAAAAGAACCTATTAAAGGAATGTATTCCACTGATAGTGCCCAAAATGTCAGGAGTGTTTCTCAAACATCTCAGTTTCCCTGAAGAACTTACCTGTCTGTCATCTTGAGTCTCTGTAAGCCTTTTTGCCTCTCTTCAGTGTAGATCACCCAGAGAGCAGGAATTTCCCTAAGGTAACTATCCAGTCCCGTGAATTAGTAACCTACTAACTCCTTTTATTTATCTTGAGTTATTGAACTTGAGAGCGCCTCAAGTTCATAGTGTGCTCCTCATTCCAGGATTTGGAGGCCAGGTCTATATTTACCTGACCCACGCCCTTCGTTATTTTTTAGGCCTGAGTTATAAACCTGTCCGTCTTGATTTTCCGTTATTTTCATATCTGCCTCCAGCAGCCTGTTTCCTCACCCGCCCCTCTTCTCTAGCTTGGGGTCTTGGCCCCTTGCTCTGCTGCTTAGCCAGTTCCCTGGGCCTTTTATGGGGTGCTGTGACCAGAACTAAACAGTATCTGAGTAGAAAATCTCGGATGGTTCATCTTGTAAGTTTAATTTCTCCTAATTCTTTCCTGAGGCCTTTTGCTTTATCTTGGAGAGGGATGTTAATGATACTATTTTAGTTAATTTGAAGTGCCACTGTTATTATTGCCAATAGTCCTGTTAGTTTTTAATGTTCCTCCCTTTATCCAGTTATGACAACATTTAAAAACAACATTTAAGTCATTCAGAGACGTTAAAAAAATACACTCCCTGAAATTGGACGGTTGAGTTATTTCCTGAGTATTGAATGCTGCTACTTGTCCCTGATACTCCATTCTTCCTCTTGTGTGGTGTGTCTCCTCACACTCAGGCGTGGGCGCCCTGAGGACAGAAAAAGCAGCAGGTGCCAGTTAAGGTCTCTGTCAGGCTTTCGTTTGGATTTCTGAGAGTGGAATGGAATGTCATGTCTGGTCTGTGTCTGTTTTTGTGTTTGTTTTCTGATGAAACAGTCTGTTTGTCCACAAACTATTGGAAACAAACTATTTTAAACAACACCATGACAGGCGTTGTTTAGAAACCAGTCAGCATCCTGATTCTTCCACGCACAGACTTACTTGGACTCTGCTGGGAAGCGACCCCTCGATCCTGTTTTGGTGGTTTGTACTCTGATGCGCCATCTGACTGTGAACATGTGGAAATTCGTATCTGTGCTTTCCTAAGGTGTTCTTGTTCTTATTTTTGCAGATACAGTATATTCAAATATACCTCCATTGCCCTGGTGTCTGTGGGGATATTTATTTGCACTTTCATGTCAGCAAAGCAGGTGGTAAGGATCGATTCACAAATCGTTTATATTCAGTACTTGCCATGAGGGCCTGGAGACCCAGGTATTTATTAATGACGCAGTAAATTTAAATGCTTGTGTAATACAGGGATTCAAATCTCTGAAAGAGACTAGTGGAGGGAAATGGGTAACATAAATATTTCCCTTGTATCTGGGCACCTTGCCTGTAGTTCCGGTCTCTGTACCTAGTATTTTTTCTTATTTCCCAGACTTCCCAGTCCAGCTCGAGTGAGAATGACGGATTCCAGGCCTTTGCATGGTGGTTACTAGGCAAGTACAGTAATTACAATAAAGTTAATTGCCTCTGCAGTTCTGTTTGCTGAGTTTCTTCCTAAGGGACATGTTTCTTGGCAAGAAGCTTCAGCTAAACAAATTATACCATGGAAGAGAGAGGCACCTGGGATCATATATCTCTGAAACTTCGTGTTCCAGAAATGAAAAAAAATGTCCACGTTCATGGAAATGTGTTCTACAGCATGCATCCACGTTTTTCTTGGTCGCCACTGGTAGAGAAAGAAAAGTACCTGACTGCTTGTCCATCTCACTCTCTGGGAGCAGTGCCGAGAGTGTCATCCATTCTTCATGATCTGTTTGCTGAGTAGAAGCTTCTACAAAAGAAGGGCACATTGCAGCAGTTGACTCTTTAAAATTTCCAAAGGTCCCATTTCTAAATCTTAAATTTATTTTCTTCATGACTTAGCTGTTCCATATGGCAGTGTTCCCAACCCCGACTGATCATCAGAATCTCCTGGGGAGTTTTTTAAAGTATAAGTATCTCTTCGTGGAGTTAATTAGACAACTGCTGTAGAGCTTTGCCTTCTCGGTGTGTGAAACGGAGGTGAAACTCTTTCCAGGTGCATTCAGTGATAGTGATAATAGATTGCGACTAACCAAGTGAAAGAGAAGGAGCAATGAAAGAACTGTATTCTTGCTTCTTGGCTCTGCAACTTTATCCCTTTAGGTTGTTATTCTTAACATAGAAGGATCTTTATGGACTATCAGAAGAATATCAAATAAAAATTTGCAAAGGATATGAACATACAATGCATGGGGGAAAAAATTAATGCTCAATAATTTTATGTTCAGCCTCATTAGTCTAGTAATCCAAGAAATGCAAATTGAAACCAAAATGCGGTCCCTTTTGATTTTTGGTCTATTATATTGGCAAGATAATAAATGATTATTCTCATTGCTGCTGAGGTGCAATAAGACAATCATTTTCATATAAACTGTTTATGGTATAAATTGACACAACCTTTCTGGAAAAAACTCTATGTATTGAGTTTTTAAAATGTCTACAACCTTTGACTCAGTAATTCCCTTATGAGAGTTTATCTGAGGGAAATAATCAACATTTTGTTTAAAGATGTGTGTATAAGAATGAACATTGATTTTAATAATGAAATAGTTGGAAGTAATGTAACTATTCTCATATTATAAGACATTTAAGTATGGTACATCCACATGATAGAATAATATGCAGCCATTAAATTATACCTTTGAAAAAAAAAAATTTTAGTGAGTGACTTGAAGGAAAATCCAGGAAAAAGATCATGGAGAAAGAAGATATAAAAGTGTATATTCATTATGAAACCATCTTAGCATAAAATATATACATAAACGTATAGAGAAAGGAGCCGGCCCCATGGCCAAGTGGTTAAGTTTGTGTGCTCCGCTTTGGTGGCCCAGGGCGTCGCCAGTTCAGATCCTGGGCACAGATCTAGCGCCACTTATCAGGCCATGCTAAGGCGGCGTCCCACATAGCACAACTAGAAGGACCTGCAACTAGAATATACAATTATGTACTGGGGGGCTTTGGGAATAAGAAGAGGAAAGAAAAAAAGAAAAAGATTGGCAACAGACATTAGCTCAGGTGCCAATCTTTAAAGAAAAAAAAATGTAGCAAACTATTAAGGACCAGATTGTAGTATCGTGGTTGATTTTTATTTCTTTTTACAATTTTGTACATGTTCTACAATTAGTTTGTGATATTTGTAGAACTTAATGAATAAATGTTCTTTTAAGAAAACATCTGAAATGAGCACATGCAGGCCTCTTGTAACCCGACGTTCATCTTTCAGGTATTGGCGCACTCACTTTTGCTCTTCTGATGTCAGCGAGGATGGGTATTTTCCAGGAGACTCTATACAAACAATTTGGGAAACACTCCAAGGAGGCTTTGTTTTATAATGTAAGCAATTTCTTAAACCTGAGGAATATGAAAATATGTTATTATAATATGTTATTTCAAACATAATATTCCATCTTTTTGATTAGTTGAAGGATCAGTGTATTATCTGGTAAGCTGCTTTGGGCCCCACAGACTACTTTTAATGGGCTACTAATGTGTCTTCTGAGCCACGGTTCTCTATATGAGATCGTCGTGATCAGTCAATGTGAAGAAAACGAGTCTGCTAACCAGGAGCAACCCCAAGAGACAGGGAACCTTCACCCCTAATGTTCCTACAGATGAAATCAAGTTAAAACCAATATTTAAACCTGGAAAAGGAAGATAAGTTCCAAAAACAGCAGGCCCAGGGGCATATGTGCAGGAAGTCGTTGAGAGAGTTGGGGGGTTGGGGTGAGAGGTGTCTTGCCTCGTCGGGCTTTGTTCATTGGATGGAGAGTTTAATGAGTGAATCATACAGGCTTCTGCTTCTTTGTGTTAAACTGCTGACCTAGAGCCACCTCCTCTCACTTTTCTCCTCCTGCTCCCTCTTTCCTGTTGAGAGAACCCCCAAGGCACAGCCCCTCGGGGTCAGGGTCAGGGTGATGTAATTGCCTCCAGCGTCAGTGACCTCAGGGATTCCTTCACTGCCCGCTTTTTGTACTAAAGTTGCAGATGAGCAATTTGAGATATTTCATTGGAGCTAGAGTATGTGACTGGGGATTTAAGAAATAAAGGAGCATTTTGTCTGGTTCACGTCTTCCTTTTAACATAGTAGCTGGCACACAGTTAACTGTTCAGGAACTGTTAGCTGTGATTCCTGAACAGTATTGTGGTGATGGTGGGAAGTTGTCGTCAGGCTCACCAGCCTTTGCTTACCTCATGTTTCCCCTTCCTCTTCAACCTCTTTTTATTCTTGTCTTCGTTTCTTTTTCCCTGACCTTGTATGGTCCTCCAATCTTTTTTCTCATTAGTCTCCTAAACTCCCTGAAATCTGCCTTCACATTGTATGTCATTTTTAAATCCATTATATTTGCTGACCCATCCTTAAAAATAGTAAAACATAGCAAATCCTTTGGGCAAAGTGACTGTGTTTAAATTTCTCATTCCCTTTTGTTGAGGAAAGGATGCTGGCTCCGTTTTTTTGTTTTATATGTGATGACCAGCAGACTCCATAAGGGCAAGGACTGTAACTTTGTGGTTAATGTCATGCCATACAATGTCAAGTGGTCAGAAGCACTGGATACATTAAGAAGTCTAGCTTGCTTTTCTTGATACTGCTTGTCAAACAACTTGTAAAACTTTTAATCATTGTATTATTCTGTAATGTTTTTGCATTTAAATTTATGTGAACTATTTCTTCCCATAGCACGCCCTTCCACTTCCTGGTTTCATCTTCTTGGCTTCTGATATTTATGACCATGCAGTTCTGTTCAATAAGTCTGGTGAGTTTGGGGTTATCCAGAAGCATTACTGACAGTTTCTGAGGCAGAGTCTCAGTTGGGCTCTTGACTTGACCACTGCCATTTTCCTAACCTTATCCAGCTCATCCATCCCCGTCTTCCCCCTTCCAGGAATAGAGTGCCCCATTAATCTGTAGTTACAGCAACAAAAGCTTTTACAGGCGCTTCTCAATTATTTGCAAATGAAGTAAGAGAGTATCTTCAGATTTTCTATTTTGCTTTGGAACTTCTGTGTTTGCATTTGAATGTGGAATGTTTGATGTTTTGAGAATGCAAACAAATAGTAATAACTCCCTGCAGAGACTGGAGCCATGAGAAGTTGGGCAGCAGTCCAGCTCTCTCTCTTCCTGTTCCTCCTTTTCTGCTGAGAAAGGCAGACCTGCTCGTAGATCCAGTCCAAGCAGCCTTGGAGCGAAGGGACGCAAAACTAATGACAGGGCTTCAAACAACTTACAGGGTAGACAGGCGGCAGAAATATGTAAAATTAAGTCAAATGTATACAGTGTAAGTTAGTTTTTACTTTTTAAAGTGGCTATTTAAGAAATTAGCTATAAATTGCCAGTTAACTTGAAAGAAATTACATATGTAATCTAACTATCTACTAAAAGGCCTAGTGTGTTATACAGACAAATGAACACACAAGGTACAAATAAACTTTTTAAAATTAAGGCTTTACGTCGCTCATCCCTAAAATGGAAAGTGTATTCTGTAGAAGGACGGTGGGTGCTAAGTGAACGTTAGTTTCCTATCTGAACATGAGTTACCGAGTTGTAACTGTTGTAAACTGTTGTTTGCAATGTCGCCTCTCCCATTTGCCCACCAACAAATGTGTGATGAAGGTAGTATGTAAGAAACTTGTTAAGGCTCTGAATTAATCATTTCTGATTTTTTTAATTGAGATATAATTGACATATAGCTGATCTTTGACACAGCGATTTTTAAGGTCTCTGAGAGCCCCTAGTAGCAAAGGGCTATTGAAATAAACACATAATCAAATCCCCTGGAATTGATTTTGATTTTGATTTCGTTATTAGAAAGCTGCTTCTAAAAGTTGCGGGGGGCTCGATAGTAATATAACATTTTTTTAGAATCTGCCTTCAACTTCTTCAGACTCATCTGTATGTTAAATATACATTTTTTTTTCCCCCTCTTGCTTGTCTTGAAGTCAAGTGTCTCAGATGAACCTGTTATTCTTGAATTTTCTAAGGGACCTGAATATCCATCTAAATATTTTAAGTCATACTGATTGTCTCTTTTCTCAGCAAATTAATACAGTGATGCTCTAAAGTTATTAAACAGTAATAGCATTAGTTAACTTTCTTCATTTCAATACTTGCTGAGTCTTTCAAAGACAAGAGAATACCAGATTATTGGGATTCCCCACCAGTCCAGACATACAGTTATAATAAATTATTTATGTATATAGCTTTCTATTTTTTTGCAAAAGAAAATTAATGTTCGTTTACTAACTAGATTTCAGCATCGCTTTGTTAGAATTTTCTAAGTTATGCTATATAATTCAAACTCCCAAAACAATTTAGCAATATTAAAAAACTGACCCTTTGAAGATTACTATGTCCTTATTCTCGCTGATCTTGAATATTTTATTTCCTCCCAAATATTTACTGTGCAAGCTTTCATTTTGTAAAACTAACATAAAAATGTATTTAAAGGAAGAAAAGTTATAATTCCATGACCCTACACATTAGCTAATTTCATTTTACCAGTTTCCTTCCAGATGTTGTATTCTCACCTAGTTGTAATCCTTGTTAGATATAATTTTGTACTTGCTTTTTTCATTTTCTTCTGAGTTTTTTAACGAGGCTATGTATCATCTTTATGATCTTTTTTATCGAATGTATAATGCCTCATGTAGTTCAAGGACCTTGGCTTACATAGCCATTGCTCCATCAGTGGGCATTTAGATTGATTCAGAGTTTTCCTAATTATAAATAGTACTGCAATGAATGCAGGACTTTTTTCTTCTTTTGTATTGTCTAGGATTATATTCCTAAGCAGGGTATCAATATTTTTATAGCCTCTTAATAAGTATTGTGAAATTAATTTTTTAAAAAAACACCACAATTTATACTCCCACCAACTGAATGGCTGCCAGTTCCACTACCACCTTGCCAGATTAGGATATTTATACATTTTTTATTGCTAATTTGATAGATATAAAATAGTACAATCCTATTTAATTTAGAATTCTTTGATTACAAGTAGGATTGGACATATTTCCAAATGGCATTTAGTTGCTGGTTCTTTCTTCTTGTGTTGTCAGTTAAAACCATATCATTTTGAATTTTTTTGTGCTTTACCGTCTTTCTTTGTAAAGTAGGGTCGTATTCAGGTGAATGGTTAAAAGTTTATTTTAAAATTAAAACAAATTATAATTTGTTTTAAGAAATCACTGTAATGACTCTTAAGACTGATGTAGCCTGGAATCAAGGTAAGTGAAGTGGTGTATGGTCCAAATCTGTTTGCAAAGGAAGTAAAGTTGCCATCTCTATTATGTTCAGTCTGTATTGCTTCATTCAAAAAGATGAAAACTTTGGTTGTCAAAAGTGATGTAACTGTCCCCCTCTTAATCTTTGCAGAACTCTATCAAGTTCCAGTCGTTGGTGTGACAGTGCCCATCATGTGGTTCTACCTCCTCATGAATGTCTTCACTCAGTATCCTTTCTACTCCTCTGCCGTGTGGTCTTCTCTGTGTTACTCTGGCATAGGGACGTCTGTTCTTTTCTGCTAACAGTGCAGTAACAGAGTTTTGTTTTCGCCTTGATCTCTTCTGCCGTAAGCAGAAGACAGAGAGGCCCATCCAGTGAGCTCCTTTGTGGAGGGCAAAAGAGCTGCTAGTGGTGCAGGAGGCCGCGAGTCCCAGGGCACCATGCAGGAAAGGCTCTGGGTGGAGGTGTGCCGCGAGTCCCAGGGCACCATGCGGGAAAGGCTCTGGGTGGAGGTGTGGAAGTCAGTGGAGAATTAAGGATCAGTCTATGACATGAACGTTCTGTGATTTCTACCTGGAGTTTTCCAGTATCCTAGCATATTTCACAAGCTGCCACAAATTTCTGAAAGAAATTTCAAATTAATTAAAACAATTTTTTTAAGTGGGTTCTTTTGAACAACCTTAAATCCTTTATAAAAATTATCAAATGTTTGAAACAATGAAACAGATTGGACCTCATTCTTCTGAAGTCACCTCATAGATTTGCCCTACAGTTTCTTTGCAAAGGAGAGGATGGAAGGGCTGGGGACCAGCTCAAATAAAGATGGGGTGATCTCCCTTACTGAGAGTGTGACCCTCTGTCATTACTTGGGAGGTGACCTTCACTGTAGACTGTGGGAAGAATCTAGAATAAGACTAATGGGAGGTCTTCAGGCAGTTTCGAGTTGGGATCCACAAATGGAATGGCAGGACAGGAATTCTGTAGGATATTCTACCAAGCAGGAGTCTCAGAGCAGCTGTAGCCGACCCTCATGTTTTCTGGTTCTCAGAATATGAACATTTAAGCCAAGAGCCATGTCAGAAGGTGCTCCCCACTGATCTCTCTGTAGTCTACAGGAAACCTCCTTAACGCCCCCCACAGGTACGTGTGCATCCGGGGTGTCTTCATCCTCACCACAGAATGCGCCTCCCTCACCGTCACTCTCGTCGTGACTCTACGCAAGTTTGTGAGCCTCATCTTTTCCATCCTGTACTTCCAGAACCCTTTCACTCTGTGGCACTGGCTGGGCACCTTGTTTGTCTTCATTGGGACCCTGATGTACACAGAGGTGTGGAACAACCTAGGGACCACAAAAAGCCAGCCTCAGAAGGAGGACAAGAAGAACTGAGGTCTCCCTGGAATAGAGAGACGAGTGTCATTGTCGTGAGCGAGGGTCTGGCCACCATTTCTCTCCTATTAATGCTGACTTACCCCCCAGTGTTGAACCAGCCAGGTACTAGAGAAACCTCAGGAGGAGGGGACTTCTCAGATTTCTCATAGCTCTACAGACCAACATTGGTGGACTCCCAATAGAAACTCAACCCTGAAAGAGAAAAAAGAAGTCTCTACTGCTGAGCAGCCTGTTCACTTGTTATGTCTGTCTTGTTTACCGAACTATTCAATACTGCACTTGTTTGTTGAATTCTGAGCTCCCAGCACTGCTAGTTTTATATCCGTGGTCTCGGAAAAGATTAGCCCTTTTGTTGCTGTTCTGATGATTCTCTGCCGTAGCAGTCATTATCTTCCTGTGACCTTGTCCCTTTGTCCTGTCAGCTTTCCACTCCACAGCAGCGCTTCGCAGTCAGTTGGACGCTCCAGGCGTCATCGTCAGGAACGACTGAGTGGCCAGGTGAACTGAGACACCGGTGATGTTGGGGTTGGACTTTCTCCAGCTTGTTCGGAAAGAAGCAGTGGTCTCTGTGAGCCGAGCCCTGGTGACACTGGAGCAAGACTGGTGGGAACTCTTTCCCACATTTTGCTTTTTTCTTTTCCTATGCAAAAGTCATATGCTTTCACATCTGCTGTTCCCTGTGCTTAGAACAAACCTGCAGCATATCTCTATGCAGTGTTAATAAGGAGCAAAGGCTGTGTGTGAATTGGGAAAGAGAGACTTTTTCCCTCCGTCTTCTACATGAAGCCTCTGAGCCTAGAGCTGAGCTGATGACGCCAGGATGGCCCCGGAGAAGCTGGCCCTGGTGGGTCCCCAGAGAGCCACACCTTCCCCCTTGGACCCAGCCGGGCACTCGCAGGGCTGGCTCCAGGTCGGGAGGTTAAGTCTTCGGCTTCTTAACCAAGGAGATTCAGCTCCGAGTGGCAGCTCTGATAGATTCATGACCAGCCAGGCTAATGAGGGGAGTAATAGGTACAGTGGGTGTGAGTGTGGTGTAGCAATCAAGTCAAATCACAACTAAAATGGGAAGTTTTTCTTTTTTTCCTATAGGTTTCTTACTATTCTTGAATGGGTATTTGTGGGGGTAGGGGGTTGTATGTGTTTTATTATTCATAGAAACATGCCCCCCTTTTGCTCATCATTTCAAAGGTCTGGTTTTTCTCCCATGGGATACTTTTGAGAAAGAGGACCGATGTCAGTGTAGTGTGTGTAGGTGTGTGTGCTCTCGTGTCATTTGTGTGTGATCATTCTGGAGAAGAGCATGAAAATCAGGTTTCTCTTTCCTCTCTTTTCACTCAGCTCTGGGCCTTTGTTAACGTCACACAAGTACCTGCTGTTTGGTAGGCAGTTAATTAACAGCCACTCTCTCTTTGCACACAGACAAAGGCCCTTCTCTTTGTGCTGGGTGCAGATTGCCATCTTAAATCGAGCCATGGCTTCCAGGTCCCCGGTTTGGTTTTTGGGGGGCGGTACTATTTCTCCATCTAAGTCACAGGGTTTTTAGACCAATTTGTTGTTCTGGATGTTGACAGCTTTCCAGTGCCCGTAAGGGTCTACCCTAAAAGATGCTGAATTAGGTGTGAACCCATTCACGGAATCAAAAGGTACTTTCTGTGAAGTATGTGGAGCTCCTCAGACTGATGGTGCTAGAAATAACGTGTGTTAAATACCCCCTTAAAAACAAAAACAACAAAAGCTACTTTTCTTATGGCTTAATAGAAGAATCTGTCCCTACGGGCTGTTTGATTGCTACATATCTGAGGTCTTCACAGGATAATTCTTAATAGGATAGAGCCTTACATAACATAGTTATCACTCTTTTTATGTTGATGGGAAATATTAGAATTTTTAGTAATTGAAATATGTCGATGTACACAGTCAGCATTTTCTTGGTCCATTAGATTTCAGATTCTGGTTTTAGAGAGTGTGTGTTCCTCTAAGTCTGAACGCCTCTGCTGGTCTTACTAACAAGAGGTTATGTATGGACAGAGTAGGGCACTCATACAATGAAATGAACCCCTGTGAGAACAGAATGTCTTATATGCCCTGGGAATTGATTCTTCTCTCTAGTGGTAGGATATAAGTAAATATGTCTAATGGATAATAGTTAATACTTTTTTCAACTACTTTTTTTAACCATTTATTCCCCTTGAATAACTGGTTTTTTGATCCAGGTTGAAACTGATTTCAACCTTTATTAAAGGGGCAAATAAACCCTTTTGTCAGGATTAGACTCATACATAACTGGAGGAGAAATGTCTATTAAATGCCTCTCCTTTTTCTCTGGATCAAGACCATGTAACTTTGTGCCCCAGAGAGAGAAGATATAGTTTGTTTACAAAAGAGATTGATGTTTAAGACATCCAAACTCTACCCTTAGAGCAAAGATCGAATACCAGATGACACTAGCCACAAAATGTAGTGTGTGTGCGCGCGTGTGTGTGCCCCTTGTGCCCAGCTTGACCAGTGTCATTGATAAGGTAACAGGAGAAAACAGTGGATATTTGAATTGTATTAATTTCATTTCTACATATACTTTATCACAATTCTTTTGTCACATTATAAGTGCTAGCTTTTTCATTTTTTATTAGTAATTTATTTTTGATCCTTTATTTTCTTTTTCATCTAGCTAAAACAACCATTAATGCACTTGACAAGTTTCTGTCAAGCTCTAAAGTATTTAGACCCAATCCAAATAGTTTTTTTTCCCTTCTTCCTGCCCAGTTATCCAAAATGGAATGCTACCGTACTTTAATTTGGTCAGTGGGACAAGTGAAGATAAGCCATGAAAGTGGAGTTGATCTGTGCCACTCCCAGCAAACCTCTTCTATTCTGGGAAGATCATCTGACATTGTTAAAGGATTCTAATGTCTTGTGGTCATTTCCTAGGCATGTTTCCTCCCTTCTGCCCTATTTTTTCACTTCCTAACCCCGCCCTGCACTGTCTTCACTGCAGCCTCCCTTCACTCCTGTAGTTTTCTCCTTGCGACACCGATAATCTTGTATCTGTTTATGCCTCTATTCTTTGGGGCTCTGGATATTTTTGTGGATTTTTACAGGATATTTTTACCTGTGTAGCATGTATTTTATTATACATTGTTTTAAACATTGATATTAGGAGTGTGTGTCTATAAGGATGAGAATATCTGGCAGAGTATGTAAATATATGTGTAGATGAGTATGAACATGATGGATTGATGTAAAAATATTTATATATTCTGTTACAGCTCAAAGTGGGACTAAGAATCTTTACCACTGGTCCCTTGTATATTTGGAAAGCAATAGTTTTCTTATTTTGCTCTTTTTACCTTACCTCTAGCCAACTTCACTCAACAGTACCAAATGCCTATGGTGAGGGGGAGTGGGAAGCACGAGGTCAGGAATAATTCTAAACCAATGAGTTAGCTCTGGGCTGGTGGGCATACTCCTCGGTGGGCCATCCAACATATTGGAAAATGTCGCAAAGACCTGAGCAGATAGACAATTACACATCGAAAAGAACCGCATCATCAAGATCTGAAATCAGGAGCCTACGTTTGTTGTAATTTGTTTCTCTTTGGCTTGGAGTAAATGAAATTATGAGTAATTGTGCCCTTATTAGATAAACAGAGCATCTTAGTCTCAATAGCTTTATCCTAAAAAATGTGAGTGGAACTTACCTGTGGCAGTTCACTCTTAGGCTGAAAAGAACTGTCAATATAGAAAAAATCTATTATTACTGATTGGCGTGACATCTGAAAATGAGTATAAACAATATTTGTGAGTAAAAGAACTAGCCATAAGTATTGGGATATGTTCAGTACATCCCAAGCTGGGGTGGGAGACTGTATGTGTTCTCTCTTTCCAGCAGCTTCCTCACAGGAGACACTGCAGAGAAGGGAGGGACCCGGGATCATGTCTTAGTTCTGTATTACCAGCCCCAGCACAGTGTCTGACTTGCGTCTCATGAATAAATGAATGGCTCCCAAGATCTCTTATTCCTTCAAGTTTCTGAGAAAGCTTCTAATGGTTCCTGATATCTCTTCTCACTTTTCATCAGCTGGTTGGCAAGAAAGCAGATAAGAGGAAACATTCCTAAGATTCCAAGCCAGAGAAGGAATAGAGGACAGACATCTAGGATTGCTTGGGTCTGCAGCTTTTTGCTCTCTGATTGCCTGATGGTAGGGGAAAAAGCATTATATATTTAGCACTTCACATCATTGGTGCTCAGTGCAAGGAGAGGCCTATCAGGGCAGCATTAAAGATTCCTAAACGTGTTTGAGGTAGGCTGCCTGGGGTGACCCCTACATCTCCGTGGCGGGTGTCGTTGGTTTGTATCGCCTGATGTCTGGAGTTCACCGTCTCTTAGTGTCATACTGAGACACTTCCCCTGAACTTTACCTACTTAAATCGCTGACCATCCTGCCAAATGTCCTCAATGTTAATCACATAAGGCAAGCTGCAAGGGTACCAGAGATAGCTGGTGGGGGAAGCGTGGTCTATGCCAGAAGAAATAAGACCCATAGTTTTTAAGGAAAAAGTTGTAATGATTCCTTGGCACGTTGAATTATTTGTATCTTGAGATGTAAAGAAGACTCCTGTGAACGAACGAGAGAAGCAGTAGTTATTCCCCAGCGCAATAAAAATGTCTTTGTGTATCACTTGCAATCACAAGTCATTTCTGTGCTCGTTGCTTTCATTTTAGAGAATGGCATCATCCTCCAAAAAAGAGGCTGATTTTTAAAGTCGGATTTCCTAACAGATCACGTGGCATCGTCATGGGGAGGGCCGGTGGGGATTCAATCTGTGCTGCCTCTGAGCTCTTCACTTAGTCTTAGGTTTAAGAACAAAGATGGGGGACGGGGGTCTAGACAACAGGAGTGTCTGTGGAACAGCTAAAAGGCATTAGTGAGTATTCAGATTTGGAGCTGTGTAAATATCAAACATTGCTTCCAGCCTTATGAGTTATTTGAGCAGAGGGAAGGAGGAAAGGGAGGTTTTGTGAATAAAATGTTTTACCAAACAAACTGAATGAGGCTTTTTACCATGATTTCTTATAAAGAGCAGTTTTCTACCTTCTGCAACAACTCATCAGACACCTGGGTTTTCTCTTGAATTGTACAATCATTGTTTCTTAATAAAAGTGATAAATTTCTTGCAGGTGTTTCCAATCTCCATTACCTTTCAAGTGCTAGTGTGCCCTTTCAAAGGCTCTCCAATTTTTCCTTGCATGGTGGTGGTGACACATTTTACTAGAAATGATTGTAAGCAACTGTCTTCCTCATGCCTAGCAGCTGGATCGATCGCAAACCACTTCTCAGGCTGCAGGTCTGTTTTTACTGCAGAAATTTAAAGAGGATCAGCCTACTTCTGGAGCTTTTAGGAGGTCATGGCGGTAAGTTTCTGTAGCAAATCTCTCAAAACCTCTCCGCCTTAATAGAAGCACATTGATTTTTGAAATGCTGCAATGGCCAGCTCTCTTTATCTTCAGTCTGTTACTTTTAAATAAATCTTAATGAGAAAGCAACTTTTAAAGCAGTTTACCACACCCAGTCTATTTTTAATCACGTTATTCAGTAGCCCCAGGTGGAGAACACTACAGGGAAAAACAACTGGGAGATTTTGCACAAAATATAGCATAATTCTAATTCATCTTTTAAAAATCTCAGCACAACTTTATCAGGAGGACGGGGCTTGATCTTCAACAGTCCTGAGCCTGGAATGGCATGCTGGAATGGCCTCGGCTGCTCCTGAAGCCCCTTCAGTCAAGTCATCCGCATAGAGGGTGGTAAACTCTAAAATGTTATGAACCGCAAGCCCGCACATAGGTGGATGTCGGAAAAGAACCGATTTCTTTGTCCCCATCTTATATTGGGCATTCAAGCAAGTATCAGAAATGAGTAGGGATCAATGAAATGAGTGTGTCTTAATGTCAAAACTTCTCTCAAAAGGAGAGAAAAAAGCACATCTGGCTATGCAAGTATTTAATAGTCAAAGCTTTTCAGTGATGTTCTTGATCTGCAAATTAATTTAATAAAATCATCCCATCATTAGAATTAAGTTATGTTCATGTCTGATTGTTTCTTAATCAGCTCTTCAAAGATTTAGCATCTGGCTTCATTATTGCCTGTGGCTCTGTGGTGCACAGATGTGTTCTTAGCTAAGGGAGCTTATGATGATGATTACTGGAGTTTTATTGTTTCCCACAATAGCTTACAATGAACTTTTCTGTGTGAACACATTCCTTTCGTGCAGGCCACACATCTGTATCAATTTCCCAGAATCTTTATCATTGGTAAAACAATGGATTTCATCCCAGCAATTAAATGGAGTGAGTGACATGGTAGTGATAGTAAACATGTTTACGATGTGTGAGGCACTTTGCTTAACAGATAGTAATTTATTCAATCCTCGTGACAAATCACTGAAGTTAGAAAATTATCCTCATTTCACAGATAAGGAAACTGAGGCACAGAGGAGCTAACAGACTTGCCTCAGTTACTCGTGTGTGTTGGAGCTTGGATTTGAATCCTTGGAGACTGATTCCCGACTCTGCGCTCTCTTAATCACTGCACAGGGCACCTCTAAATCTCAGAAGAGACTGCACCGTCTTCCTTGCCCTGTCTCCCTGTTTGGTGTAGAGCTCTACATGCTAACTCAATAATTAGTCTTGCGTCTGTTGTTTACCATTATGTTAACGTGTCTTTGAATTCATATCCTGTTCTCTACCTTTCCCCTAAGACTTGTGATCTGTTCTGTAGTACGAGCAAGAAGAAAATAAAATTGAGAAAGCCCAAAACAGGGCTCAGAAACAGTTCTGGTTCCTAAACGTTCACATCAGAAGGTACCCTGTATTCCTGGTACCTGAAGCACACTGCATTCGGGTTAATCAGCAATATCAAATATGCAGTTTAGAAACTTAAGTAATTAAATCACAGAGCCTTTTATCAATGATTTGCTTAAGTAGCTGTGATTTACAGAATGCTTAATATATGCATTAACCGTTCTTTTAGTTTCCTCCAAGTTTCTGTCTCAGAAAGCATTTAAATTATGTTATCTCCTCTACCTGGATAAATGCCATCCCTGAATTATACTTTGATAATAAACCTTCAACTATTATACAAGGATCATTACAAGAGTTTTCATTTCCAATGATTCAGTATCTATGGCACAAATGGAGTTTAATGCATCATCCATTATCCAGTGGATTGCCTAATATCCCCTTTTCAAACAAGAATCAATGTTACAGTATTGCTCAAATTTTAGTTCTAGCAAACATTTGTCTCTGCAGATGTGTTTGCATATGTAATTTTGTCAGGAAATGAAAACTTAACTGTCATCCCTTTTATACAGATTTTATCAGGATTAGGTTTAAGTGCCTGTAATAGAACTCCAGACTGCAGTAACTTAACCTAATGGTTTATTTTTTCACACGAGGTAGAGAGATTGGGGCTGTGCAGCCACTGAAGGAAGTCCGCAAGGGAAGCAAGCAGAAGCTGCTGTAAAATGACTCATCTGCGAAAGCCCATGTGTCTGCCTACCGTCGCCAGAGGAGCAGTTACATGGCGTCTGTTTCATGTTTGCATTCCACATCACACGAGTACACGTCATCAGAGGAACCTACCCCAGAACACAGCTGGCAAAGACTCTGGGGAATGTAGATTCCAAGACTCTCCAACTCTGGTACAAGGGGAGATGAGGAGTAGATGGGGAAGTGGCTGAATTGCCAACAGGGAGTCCAGCACAGTCTGCCCCGTGACTGCACTATTAAACAGTAATGTTTAACTTCCAGACAAACAATTCAAGTAAAACAGCATGCTTCTGCTGAACATGATGGGACTATCCCTCATCCCAGTGAACACGCTCTCCTCCTTTCCCCTTACGTCACCGTATCCATCTCTAGTTCATTCGCAATTCCCCTTTGCTAGCCTGTAATTTGAAGCCTAGAATTAAAAGTTAACTGCTACATGTCTTACATAAAATGAAAAAGGCAGGGGGAGGGGGATTTGTTGCTGATAAAAAATTTAATTTGCTAATGTTAATACACTAATATCTTCACCACAATGCAAGGAGCAAAATAGACAGCCTTGTTATCGTCCTCATTTTAGCAACTGTTCATGAGGCCATAGTTGGTATTTATAACTTTCTTATCCACTCCTCATGCTGTGTTCCCTTTGCCCTCTGGCAGCTCCTCAGCTGGTCAAGGGTCTTTACCTTGTGGAATGACCCAAACCTTTGTTCCTGAAGAGTCTGAGCCTGTTCTGATCCACACTGGTGGTGGTATCTTCCATCAACTGGTACCTTTGGACATGTAAGTACTAAGAAAGGTTCCCAGAGAATACCTTGAGTTGCAAACATGCCTCATTCCTCTGTTTCTCCTTCATAATCAGGATCAATACCCCCGCCCCCCCCCCCCCCGCCACCACACACACACACAGTGACAGTAGGCTTCTTCTTTGCCTATTGATTCAGCGACATAAGAAGTCAAAAGTGACCACGTGGCAGTCTCAACTTCCTCCTCAACTGGGCCTCTGTTGCATTCCTCAGTGAAAACATTCCTCCCTTAGGATCTAAAACTTCTAGACCAGTAGCATTTAAAGGTGCGGGAACCAGAAACAACAATTTTGTAAGTAGGACTTTAGGGGTAATGATGTGACACCACTTCACGTCTCCCTCCTAGTTCTGGGACCTGTGTTGTCTCTCTGGATGAAAAGGGACCGTGTATTGGTTGCAGATTCAAGCAGAAATTACATCTTGCAGGACAGTGGGTTTTAATTGCCCTTCCAACACATTGAGACTGAACCGGGCCAATGAGGATGTGTCAACTTGCCTAGATCCTTTGTTTCTGGCTGCCACACAAGCAACCAGGTCTCAGGTGTTGGGTACTGGTGTAGAACAGATTGAGTGACAGAGTTGGCCCAGCTTCCTCTGTCTGTCTCTGGCATCTTCCTCCAACACTGCTTAAACACATGTAAATGAAACGCACATGCATTTGCAGTGTTTCTGGTGTGAATCCTGAAAGCTACATTTTTTCTTTTTCTTTTGAAGTCTCCCCAGTCCGTCCGCCCCCACTCTCTTTCTTCGGTGGGCCCATTTTAAATGTGTTAATTCTAGGCAAAGATGTCATCGAAAGGAGAAAAACAGGTGGGGAAGAAAGAGATGAAAACACTCTTTGACAGTTCACTTCTCTTTTGCAGCTGTGAAAGCTGCAGATTTGAATTGTTACCTCCCTCACCAAGCTAATTAATTCTCTTTCTTTAAAAAAAAAACACGTCTCCTTCCTTCAATCAGTGTCAACAGCCAATTACAATCTTTCATCACGTAAAGTGTAATAACACAAATGTTATCAAGGAAGAAAACAGTTGGACTGACAAGATTAGCAATTCACTCCTTTCTTAATCTTGTAATCACATGGTATGCAGTAGTTTACAATAATATACACCCAAGTTTGCCAGTAAATTACTCTATAAAGGCCGTGTGTAAATTCCCCATCGTGTCATGTCTACTTTTGGCAGGGAAGCACGTGTCTTCCTGTAGGAGACATGGGATGAATTAAGATCGACTCCTTAGAGAGCTTTCTCCTCATCCATTAACCACTGCAGAAGGTTGTTAATTATGTAAAGAGGGCACACTGGGTAGAATATATAACCGTGATGGCATTTAGGGGTAACAGAAAAC